TTAATATCAGTAGCACTGATCAGACTAGATTTTTAGTAAAAATCGGCAAAGATTTTACAAATTAGTTCCAAGGGGAGAGAGAGGTGGGAAAATTAGGAGTCCTCTAAGCAAAATATTAAAAACCTTGGTAAGTTTATACTCACTTGATACATTTTATCATGTTTAATCTCTTTATATAATGCAATTGTACAGTAACTGTTTGACTGCCATTTATCTGCCATCTCATAGTACTAACTGCTATCACAGAGGGAATGGGTCCTGCAAATAATCCAGGAAAGAAAGGGTAAAAAGGACACTCATGTTTTGTAGCTTCAGGAAGAGGTATACATTTTCAAGCACTTTCCTTGCCTCAGGTCCTCCATCTTCCCCAAGTAGTTTGGAATTCTGATTTCAAAACTTGCTCTCCACATACTCAAGTGTTTTCTCCACCTGCCATAAGCTGTTGCTGGGATAGGATCTCTTATTAGTCTCAAAGAACCCGATGACTTCTGAACCTTGAGATTATAAAGCAAGAAAGTTACTGAACACTCACATGCAAGTCGATTGGCTAAGAAAAGGTAGCACAAAGTCCTGCCAAAAATCCTAGCTAATCTGATAAAGGAAAAACCAGGGAGGTCTAAGCACTAAAACCTGCAGTTTAAGTAGAGCCAATTCCAGCTGCAGAAGGAAGCACATCACATTCAGCAGAGCACCTCCTCTTCTGAAATGCCATCTGAAAACACATTTTACCACCTTACTGCCCAAAGAACACAGAAAAATGTGTGGGACTGACAGGTAAATTTCAGACCAGTACCAAACACAACTTGAAACTGACTGGAAGGAGGGAGAAATAAATTTACAAGATCTACGACAGGAAGCCAGCTAGCACTTAAATACTTCTTTAACTCTCCCCCTTTCAATGCACTTCACAAAACAATTAATCCTCTTAACACCCATGCAAACATATTTATTGTCCACAGTTTTAACTTGTAAGCTCTTCATGAAATGGTCTAGTTCTTTTTCTAGCTTAATACACTGCCCATGAAAACAGGGACCAAAGCCCTGTTTTAACTGTGGGACAGCTCTCGAGAAACTTGCTCCCATCATCCCACTCCCATCAGCATCTTACAGAGGGACAAGAAAGGCACTTAATGAAGAAAACACTTTTATAAACTAGTCAAAAGTATTTTATGCTAGTTAAGTGCTCAAATCTCCGCCTCCATGCTCCACTCTTCTTCAGACTACATAACCAAAAGACTCTTCTAAAATTCCTTAGTAGCTCTAGCCAGGCTGGAAAAGCAGCTCCAAATTTTGGAGACTCCCAAGCCCCCACCACACAAATGGATTCACACTCCTGTGCCCAGCTCAGCAGGAGCCACCAGCACTCAGACTGCAGCCACACAGTGGGCATGAAAAAAACCCCCAGCATCCTCCCACAATGGGTCTGAGGACAAATGTGTATATATTTTCCTGTTGGCATCTGCACTACAATAGAGAAAAACCTGCAGTTAACAAACACGTGCAGCAATATTTCGCCCTGAATCACACAAAAGTGTATAGAGACACCTGGACCTTGTGAAATGAAGTTTATTACACAAGGCCTTCTTTTATGGCAGTATACATAAAAAGGGTTTAGTCTTTATTTCTCTACCCAGCTGAGACAACCTACTTTCTCTGCAGCTGCTAGGAGAAGAGAAACTATAAACATTTACATTTAATGCAACAAAAGGTTTGCTCACCACCTCTTGTGTTCCACTGTGCTCTTAGACGATGATCACTCATCATAAAAATGGGTGGAGTGGCTGCAAAACACTCAGTGATGGAAAAACTGACTCCCATGTTCAGGAGAGGTTCCTGCACAGGCTGAAAAACTCCACTGAAATGGAGTGTTGTCATTACTCCCAGGATGGGAAATCTTTGGGCTGTGGATGCAAACACATCTGCTACACAGCACATGAAGCAGTCTGTTTTAATTTATCTCAGAATCACCCTCTGCACCAACTCAAAGACCTTCAGATCACACTACAGAAACTGTTTTAATCTAGGCCACACGTAAACTCAATCAGCTCCAGTTTGGTCTTAAACAATTAAAAACCAGCACTCCCAAGTACAAAGTGCAGACCTGAAGATGTCCAGTGCCGTCAGCACTGCAGCCTTGCTGCTGCAGTGAAAGATTTATGGTAACAGGGAACAAAACAACAGAATTCATCACGTAACACCAGAGGTACATCACGTAAACCTCACTCCTTGGCTGACTCACTAAGTGATATTAACTCAAAAAAAAAGCAAGTCCAGTTTTGCTACCATCTCTTGTGGGTTCAGCAATTAGGAAGTGTGCTGTGCACAGCCTCACGAGCCAAAATAAATTAGTCTGTATAAGAGTCAAATATGGTCATCCTGTCCTCCCCTTCCCCCCAAAATAAACCACTTCCCCCCCTTCCTTTAACACCTGCTTCCTCCATCCAAGCATTCATTGTCCCACTGCTATTATGGGACCAAAGGCTTCAGCATCCCAGAGGAAACTCAGGAGGGAAAACAGTGTGTGTAAAGTGATCAAGACTCATTCCCTTCAGCAATCTCATCCCCCCAATCCCCTTTTTTCCCCTTTTTTCCTATTGACAGCAAATTTCAAGATTTGGCAGGCTGCTGACAGCCACACATGCTGGGAAGCCAAATGTGCCACACGCACATCCTGGTATTGAACCCCACTGTGCCCAGCGCAGACTTTTCTTGCCCTCACACCTCACCAAGAGCCCACAACCAACACCATGGGGAAAGAAACAAGGCCAGATAACCCATGGCCTGACCCAGAACAGCCTTTTGTACTGTTACCCTGAAGGGAGCGACTTCACACAAGCAGCCACTCTGCATCCCTAAAAAGTGGCAGAATCAGAGCAACATCAGGAACATGGCAAAAGGAGCCTCTGGGCAAAACCATCCTCAGCATCAACTTCCACCAGGAGCTTTTTAACTACAAGAGGTCATTGCACACTCACACTCCCACTTTGGTCCTCCCTACACTGGAAACAGGGATACCTGCAGGAACACGATGGGGCATCCAGCATCCATGTGTGACACATGCCAGGTGTGTTAATCCAGGGAAAAGAATGGGTGAGTCAGTAGTTTGAGTCTGAAGACAGTCTGGTTAAGAACAACTGCTCCATGCCAGAATCTTTGTTTGTAATGGTTTTGCTAAGTGCAGCACTCAGACTTACAGAACAGTTACACCACTGAGGCCAGAGACACACAGGGAAAAAGATATACTTTCCCAAATAACTTTGCCAGAAACCTCAGATACAGTTTAGATGAAGATACAAATATGTCACAGATTTTAACATAACTGGCTGCTCCAGTTTGCATTAGTCATGGGTGATAAAAAGCACAGAGGACTCAAACATGACACATCGGGCACTTTCTCTGTACACAAAGTTTTGAACATCATCATCCGGTGACCTTTAAGATGACCACCTTAAATCATGCCCATAGAGAAAAGTCTCACAAAATTCAGCCTCATTTTTAAATAAATAATTTCTCACTTATTTTCTTTTCCCTTGCTATCAGAAATAAAACCTGAAGGAGCTGCTACAGAAGAAAATCCTTAAATGCTTCCTTTTACAGTGGATCAGGCTAATCTCAGCGGTGCTGCCACACTGTAAATAATATCTCACATTAAAAAACAATTTGGTGAGACCTCTCACTGTGTATTTTGCAAATGTAACATTAAGGTAAAAACAGTTCAGCAACAAGACTAACGGGAAAATTAGATCAGCCACCTGAAAGTAGTCAAAAAAAAATACAAAAAGAGACTAGAAGCAGTCAGAGGATGCTGTGGCAAATTTTGCATAGTCTATTAGAAAATTTCACAAGTGCTTGAAACAAGGACACAATGGATCCGTTGCAACTACCTGTGCTCAAACATTTTAAATATTATCTCAGAAGAGCAGCTGTACAGGATCCAGTGAGCAATCAGTCTCCACCCCATGATTTCCAAGGAAATCAAAATGTGACCACATGAAAGGATCAAGCCTACAAGAAAACTGTGACAGTTCAGTTGCCACATTGACTGAACAAAAAACTGTGACCAGTTTTAGAAAGACAAGAGCAGCCAAACAGGAAAATTATTTATTACAACACTCATGGAACAACTCATGGAATCACAAAAATAAATAAAAAAGAAAAATTTGACTAAAGAGATTGGATCATTTTGAATATAAAAGTGAATTCACAGTCTTTACAAGGGGCAAGAGATTCAAGAAAAATCCAAGTAGTCCAAGAGAATTACTCATGAGAACCTGTGCTACAGAATTATGAGTTCACTGGTAAAGAAGCACCAACCATTCTGGATTCTGCAGCCAAGGCCAGAATCAAGGTCCTGTACCAACCATGGAAGCCTCTATGGCCCACACCAGCAGCAGACCTTGCCCAGAGGTACCAAACCCAACCTCACACCCAAAACATGGTGGAATACAGTGGAATACACTGTATTTCAAGCCCTCAACACAAGTGCTGTAGAAGGTACTGACAGTAGTTTCAGAGGTAATTTTTCCTTATGTTTTCTCCAATCCTAGATTAAATATTTAAGCATTTGGACTGTGAGAACTTCATTGCTATGCCAACGAATTAACCTTTTTCTCACCCGTATTACAAACCACACAATAAACTCTTTAGCATCAGATTCTTAGGTTTCTTTTCAATATATATAAAATAGTCTTGTTAGAATGCCTGACCATGTCACAACATGTGATACATTCCAGCTGCAAAAGAACTAAAGCTTACTTTTTCCAAGGTATCACACTTCATACTTTTTAAGGACTGTTGACTACTTAAAAATATTTATGATTGTACTTTTTCTCCTGTTCCTCAACAACTTAGCAGTCTACTTAAAACGGTTATAAAGAAAATCTTAAAAAACATTATTAAAATAGCAGAACTTACTTTAAAGAGAAGATTTCTCTTCACTCTCGACAGAAATAACTGCTGTCTTACAGAACTTAAAAACTGAACTTTGACTTTTAACTCACTGACTTATCTCAGAAACATCTATCTCCCATGTCATCTTCTCATGCTATAAAACAGGGATGGGCACCACAGTCAAAATGCCTTCTTTGCAACTGGAAAAGCACTTCCAAGAGTTTAGGCTTCTCCTGGTGGAAGCATCCAATCCTCTGCCACAGCAGCTGCTGGTGATAACAGAAGGGAACATGAGTCAGGTAACTGATGCAGGTACAGAATGAACTTTTTTTTCTTAATTGATACAAGTTATGAATTGCATACATGAGAAACAATAATGTATTCTTAACTGGAATCCATTTCCCAGTCTGGTTTGCTGAACAGATCCAAAACCCTGGTATGACCCAACTCTGGAACTGGAAGAGGCTGCTTATGCTACACCAACACACAAAAGAGATGACAAAACTGCAGTTCAAGTTTAGGATGATACTGAAACTTTTACCTACTGCTTGTCTCCATCAGCTCTTTGGAGAAGGACAATAAACTCTTTACAGGATTTGTGGCGTCGCAGCTTATTTGTCATGCAGACATTACAAGAGGAGTCACCCTGTTGCCCTGACAAAGCACCATAAATATAAAGAGGTGTATCCTTCTGAAAAAGATCTGTATAGCTTCACTGCAGCAACAAGTTCCCTGCATAGCTGCTTTTCCTGGAGCACTGCCATCATATTTTCTTATCAGTAACTGAAGTAACTAACCAGCTAACTCCCAGTGATGGGCTTTGCCTTCTAGATCTGCATAAAGGTCATTTGCAAAGGGAAAAAGGCAGGCTTGATAAATAAATAAATAAAAAGAAGCCATTATGCCACTTTTATATCCACGGCTTTGTTTCCAAAAGCCACTGAGAAGTGCAATGCCAGACTGAAGTGTCTGACTATTCAGTAAGTACAAGGAGTGGCCGATTCCCTCCCCACAGTGAGATTGTTGACAGCTGTTTTAGAAGAGGGGGAAAAAAAAGTGAAGCATGACTAAGCTATTCATCAAAATCCCATTATATCCAACACCCTTAAAACAAGTTTTGTTTTAGAAAAGGTGCAGGGCTTCCTGGATGTGACTGACCAGGTGGTACATGCCAGCCCTAAACCAGGCTCCCAACTGGATTATATCCCCTGTGGCAAACCCCAGGGCAGCAAAGAAGGGACTCTATTTACACCAGACTATCAGCTGCTTCAGAACGTCACTCATTACCTTTATCTGTCCTACAGGTGATCAATGCAAGCAAGCACATGAGCACTTGGCACTGAACACCACCCAGTAAGCACAAGGTGCAGGCTGCAAGGTGTTTTCCTCCCCAGCTTTCCACATCCAGCCTCTCATGTGCCTGCAAATAGGAGTTATCCTCCAGCTGGAAACCACGCCAACTGCCAACTCCCTATCCAGGAGACTGGTAAAACATGGGGCCACAATCACACAGGGAGGCCATATCATGCCTTTATGGCCTCCCGGACTATCCAGCCTTTTGCTCGAGTTTTTAACATCTTAGCAGTGCCTTCCACCAGTAGAGCAAAGCCAACACCAAATAGTTCCTCCATACAAATCAGCTGTGTGGTTTAGCTGACTCCAGGCTATTTATTGCCTGTGTGGGGAACCCCTGTAGAAATAGCATCTAATAGCACTCAAGTAGATTGCAGAGATAACCAGCTACAGTAATAAGCAGAAAAGCTTCCAAGCTGCTTCAAGGTCGGTTTTATTGGTGAGTGGATCGCCACCAAATAGCAGGCAGAGAAAACTGATACGTTGGTGTCCTGGAAACAGTGGAAAAGAAATAGGTACAGCAGGCACTGCAGCTTCTACTAACGATTTTTTTGTTAAGTAGCTATTTAATAAAACTTATTATTCCAGCAGAAAATTATATGAAAGAACCCCACTGCTTTTGCAACACAGGAGCATGTGAACACTAACAATAAACCTACCAGTGTTTTTTTCCTCTAGGATAATTTATTGACTGCTGTTCTTAATTCATGCTTTGGATAGAATAACCAGATTCCTTTAACAGTACTTAATCCTCCTCTTAGCACAGGAGTGTACCCTAGACCAGAACACGGCTTACTCACAAGTATATCCTGCTGAGAGATTAGTGAGTTCTGCATATGCCTGAGTCTCAAAGCTGCGCTACGCAGACTGTGTTTAATAACATCCATCATCAGATAGTACCTGGCAGAACTCTGTTCCTACGAGAAGCTTTGAGCTCTTCAATGTGTTTCCCTCCTTTGATGCAGCGAAGCTGTAAATCAGGAACACCGAGCTCCTGCCTTTCTCTCTGGCTGCAGTCCCTGGCTGGACTCTCTTACTTCCAACACGTGTCCTCACCTCTCGGGCTATGCCGGCCATCCGTGGCCGCCAGAGCCGGGCAGGAAATCCAGGCTGGAACGCCGTCACACAGCACAGCTCATCCACACTACCTGTGGGGGACTCGTCATTCAGGCTACCAACAAAACCTGTCTGCCTGGCAGAACTCAACATCCGTGCCCTTCCAGCAACAGCCCCAGGCTAGCCCGTCTGCCCAGCACTGGGCAGTGCTGCAAGGACAGACGGGTGATGGAGAGGCTCAACCCATGAATGTGGACAACAGGTATACACTTGACCTCGTGCCAAGGGAAAACACGTGCCCAGATGATCCTCAGCTTGCCTTGTGCACCCTGACCCTGTTATCAGGCTTGTAAGAAAGCAACCAAAACAAAAAAACCCAAACAAACCCAATTTCAAGTGTGCGAACGGGACATTGTCACCATGTCCCAAAGCACAGCAAATGTCCCTCTAGTACAGACAGCACTTTTATCCACAGGCAGGGATGTTATGAGGTTAACATCTATCTACTCCCACTTCTAAGGTATCTATGTATAAAAATACACCTCTAACACCACAATAAATGAATCATTAGTATCTGACCTTCAGGAACCCACATGGAACTTGGTTCACCCTTACAATTCCAGAATAGGTCAGCAAGGGCATGCAAAGTACGAGAAAGACACCCAACAAGGGACTCAAAGAGAGTCACCACAAACAGAATTAATGTAGCTTGGCCCTTTAAAACCGATTAGATTACATTAGCCAAAACTCCCAGCACACAAGACATCCATAGATCTCAGACCAACTGTCTAAACTCAGCTCTGAAGCTACATGCTTTACATATTTCTACTGCATTGCATATCTCCATGAGTACCTAAAGTTTTACGGCTGACGGAGATTACAGAGAGCCACAGCGACCAAATGTCCTACAGCAGTGCAGGATTTCTAATCCTTTTATCAATTCCCTATCTGGTCATCCACAGCAGTATTGATACAGCACACTCTTAAAAAAGAAAAAAGAACTTTTTATAAATCACTTTTTTCCCACTTCCAATCTCCAGCTAATATGGGGTAAGGACACTGGAGCAGGACCACTTCCAGAGGTCCGCAAAAGCAGATTCTGCAAATCCCCACTCCTCTATATGACTTGCAGGGACAACACAGTCACAGAACGTGGATTAACAAACCCCAACAGTTTACAGGTTCAGAAAAACTACTGTTTCGCAATCCTCATCCAGAAACTCCTACATTTGCTTCAGAAGAAGGGTCTGCACTCGAGAAGGAACAAAAATAAATATATTCTCAAGCAACAAAGTGAACGCGTGAAATAGACCCCACGGCAATGACCCTCTAAATGACACCAAAGGCCACTGAGACCCAAAGGTGACACACACCAACACCAGCGTGTTGCGGGGGGCTCTTGATACCAACCCGCGGTGACTTTCCGTGCAATAAACTGAGACACGAAGTTGTGTCTGCGAGCCTGGAGCGGGGTTCCCACCGGGATATCAGTAATTCCAGTGCGGAGGGAGGCTGGGGGCCAGGCGGGAGCGTGTCCCCGGCACACCCCCGGGCACAGCGGGGTTGGTCCCCGCGCGTCCCCCCGGCAGCGGCGCCGCCACCCCCGCCCGGCTGCGGGGGGACCGCGCCCGGCCCCGGCCCGTAGACAATAGCGGCGGGGAGCAGCGGCGCGAGAAAACACTCAAAATAAATGAAAAACTACCAAGAGCCGTACAATGAAAAGGAATAAAGCCACGCGGAGGAGAGGGGCCGCCCGGAGCGGCTCCACGCGAAGTTGCGCGGAGAAAAAACCCCCGAGGACGAGGAGGAGGAAGGGCGGGGGAAGCGTGCGAGGGCCGGGAAGGGGAGGGGGGCTCCCGTACACCCCCATCCCCGGGGAGCGCCCACCCCTCCGCCCCCGCCGGCAGCCTCCCCAAACTTTCCCCCACCCCTTCGCCCAACTCCGGCGGGGTAAACTCACCGCGGGGCCCGGCGGGCGGCTTCGCCCCTGGCAGCGGGGCCGGGAGGGAAGGGAGAGGGACGGGGACGGGGAGGGGGCGGAGGAGGCGGCCTGGCCGGTGCTCTCCGCCCGGGGAGGCGGGCAGGAAGCAGGGGAGGCGGGCCGGGGGCTGCCGCCTCGCAACCTGAGCCGCCGCGCCCGCCCGGCACGGCCGGCACGGCCAGCCCGCATGCGCCGCCCCGGGCCGGGACGTGTGGGGCCGGGCACGGCGGGACCGGGTGGGCGCTCGCTGGAGCCGAGGTCCGGCCATGCCTGCCCTGCGCCGTGAGCAGCGCTGGGGAAAGCCCCGCTCCCTGCCCCGGCGGCTTCTCCCTCGCCTGTGCCCCTTCCCGGTTGCTCGGCTGCCGGGGAGAGGCGGCGGCGTGTGTAACATGGTGGTGCGGGTGGGAAAGCGCGCAGGCTGCTGCTTAGGCTGTGGGTTTGTTTTTACGGAAGGGGGACCTGGGGATTGCTTCATGCCTGGAGGAGTTCAAAGCCAGGCTGGATGGGGCTTTGAACAACCTGCGCTAGTGGGAAGTGTCCTTGCCCATGGTGGGGAGGTTGGAATTGGATGGTGCTGAAGGTCCCTTCCAACCCAAACCATTCTGGGATTTTAGTATCCTGCCTTCCCACGTGTTGAGCGCTGGCTGTAGGGCCTGTTCTGGTGGGTGCTGAAGTTTTTTAACTTGCAGCAGATAAAGCCTATCCCAGTCCCCAGAACAGAAGCTGTCCAGCTGTGAACTGAATCTGCGCACATCTGTA